GCTGGGCGCCGCCCCATCGCCCAACATCCGCGTCCGCCTGCCCGAAGCACGACGCGTGGACACCAGAAACGGCCACAGGACGCGAGGAGGAGGCGTCCGAGACGCCCAAGCCCCTCGGACGCTCGCTGGACTCCGGCTTAAAGGGACGAAAGGCAGACGCCGAAGGTCAGGCGCAAGCAAGTGGCGATTTCTGGGGAAGAGAGAGCCGAGCTCGCCCTGAAACCCGGAGCCAGGGCTGGCGGCGGGGTGGCCCGGAGAGCAGGCCGGACCCCAGCACTAGGGCGGGCTGTTCAGATCCGCACAGCCCTGAGATGCTGGGGTGGGGGGAGGCGCTGGGCCCCCAGGCTGCCTTCAGGCGGGGTCGCTGGCCTGAGGCCTGCTGGTGCCTGGCACAGGCCTGGCACGCGGCGGCTGGGCACGACTGAGGTGAAGGAGAGCCGACCCACAAGCAGAGCTAGGGGACGCTTCTTCCCAGGCGGGGGGATGCGGTGCGTTCCATCAGTGACAACCTCTCCACTGCTGTTGCTTCTCTGGCAAAATTCTAGAATGGAGGTGGCCGGATGTTGGGAATCCGCTGGAAAGGAAAGCAGCCCACACCCAAGTGGCGTCCCTTCTCCCACCTCCTGCTTGACTGTGCCAGGACCGTTCCCAGCGTCCTCTGGAGTCGGCTGGTTTCTCGCCCTGCGAGGTCAGGGCATCCAGAGCTGGCCCGGCGCCAGCGAGGGGCAGCAGTCCACCCCGGCTGGACTCAGCAGCAGAAGGGCTTGGGGCTCCGTGTGTGTGGTCAGCGGCTACCCCCTGGCGGCGGTGGGCTGCTGGGGCGTCCCGGCTGACTCTGACTTTGGGTAAGCCCGTCTCTTCTCGGGGCCTCAGCTCCCCGAAAAGGAGGGACGGCAGATTCGGTGGGAGCAGCAGATTTGGGGGACGGGAGCCCAGCAAGCCTCCCCCTACCAGCAAGCCGTTTCTGGGGCCCAAATTAGAGTCACTGCCTAATACGTGGAGACGCCTCAGGGCGTCAGAGAGAGCACAGGAAGGATTGACAAGCCCAGTTCCACGGGCGCTACCTCCAGGTACCCAGGAAGCGGGGCGCTTCTGCCTGGGCCAGTGGACGCCCCTGCGTTTCCCGGCACACCTCTAGCAGGGAGCCCCATCCAAGGAGCCCACGCACAGCCCCAATTCCAACGCCAGACTAAGCCTTCAGTTTTTCTAAAGGATTCACGTTTGAAACATTTTACACTCCGTATCGGCTGGGCTAGTTTGTTCTTCGTGGCTATACAAAATTGGGGTGAAGGGGTTTCACTTAGCCCTGAAGTTTCTAGCCACGACTAACCCGCACATTCCTCTTCTTTGGCCCATGCAGTATTGATGAGGCCACTGGAACTGGATCCAACATTTAACAGTTGAAGGATTTCACATAAACATGCCCGGCCTTGGCCAGTCAGAAAAGCGCGAGCAGCTCCAGAGTTCTAGAGGCGCCAGCGCCCCCTCCAGGAGGGACGCGGAACCTCCGCGTGCCGGGTCGCCACTGCTCCGAAGGCCAGCGCCCGTCCTGCTCCGATGGCCAGCGCCCCTGTCCTGCTCTTCATTTACCTGCCCCTGGACACGGAGCTTTCAACCTCTACCTGGAGTCTCCAGCCAGCCCACCTGTCTGATTCCCAGGTAGGGCATCTGGATCAGGAAGCGGTTCCTAAGCCGCTTGGTGCGGCGGTCTGCAGGCCGGCCAGGCGAGCCCTCTTCTTGAGAGAAGCCTGGAAGCACAGAGGACGCGCCAGACCACAGCCGCGGCTTCCAGAAGGGCCTCTCCTTACCCACAGCCGGCCCTTGCCCTTCTCTCTGCCGCGGTATCTCTGCAAGGTGGGGCATGTTGAGTTGGATAGAGAACTACGCTCATTCTGCTGGGAGCGGAGTTGACCGAGAGCGGGAGTGCGGGTGGGCTTGGGCGGAGTGCGGGGCTTGGGGCAGGCGGGACGCTGGCGGGGGAGGGGCCCAGAGCCTCCCCGCCTCCCGGGCCCCCGGTAAGGAAGCCATTGCGCTGGGGTGCGCTGCTAGGGACTCGGGACCAGTCTAAGGCAGGATGAGAGGAGCCGGTCGCCTCCAGCGCCATGTGGACCCCTCAGAGGTGGCGGGTGGGGGTGAGGCCAGATGCCTTGGCTGGCACAGTAAAGAAAAAGGGGGGGACACAGAGCCACAGAATGGCCATGCTTATGTGGGTGATGAGGAAAGGGTGTTGAGTACTCCGAGTTGGGTTTTTGTTTTTTTTTTTAAAGATTTATTTATTTGTACATACAGAACTGGGGTACAGGCCAGAGGCTCAGGGGCGGCGAGAGGCTTCACCAGAGACAGAGTGGGGAGCAGAACAGGCAGATCAACGAAGTACACTGCTGAGGGGAGCAGCGGGCGGGTCAGGAGAGGTCTGCCGCGCCATGTGGTCACCTCCGGGGCAGCCATGTGGTCACCTCCGGGGCAGGCGGGGGTCGAACTCATGCGGAAGCGGCTTTAGCTTCTCAGTGCTGCGCTTTAACCCGCTGCGCCGCCAGGGAGGGCCCGGGTTTTTTTATATATAAGTTTATTTTACATCATTTTGTGCCTTTTCCCATCCCGGTTGTCATCCCCGTGGGCTTCCCATCACCAAATCACCCTGTGCCGTCACCACAGTCCCGTGCACTCCTCCCCCCCATTTTTGATCTGAGTTGGGTTTTTTTTTAAAGATTTATTTATGCATACAAGAGTACAGGCCAGAGGTGGGGGCGGTTGAGAGGCTCCCCAGAGACAGAGTGGGGAGCAGAACAGGCGGATCAATGGAAACACACTGCTGAGGGGAGCAGCTGGGAGACAGGAGGGGTCTGCTGCACCCTGGGGGTCACCCCCTGGCCGGGGACTGAGCCCAGGCCGCAGCGGCTGGTGACAACTTCACAGTGCCGACTATGCCCTGCCATCGGGGGCCCCGTATTCTGAGTTTCTGAGTATGGCCGAGGAGCCGCCTAACAAAGGCGGACATAGGGCCAGTCTTGCCGGGTCCACTCCCCACCCACTCCGGAGCCCCAACCCTGCTGGGGCCCATTTGCCATTCGCAGGCAGCCAGTCCAGGGATCCCGCTCCACGGAGGGGTCCCCTGCAATCCCGTCTGCACTTGGCAGACGGCACCCTGAGTAGCGAACCTCCTTTAGCGGGACATACATACAACCCAGGCACCCCTGGAGGTCGCAATAAAGTGAGTCACATGCACGTTTGGCTTCCCAGTGCACAGAAGTTACGCGCACCCTGGACTGCAGCCCGCTGGGCCGCCACCTCCCTGGGCACCGCCACCCCCAGCGCCCCCCAGCCCCCGCACGCAGCAGCATCCTCTAAGAGATGACGCCCACGCCTCCATGACCATTGACAGCCACAAACCAGGCACCTGCTTTGGGAAAGATGGCACTGGGGCCATCTTTCAACGAGTGTTTGCAAAGTCAGTCTTGTGAGGCACCGAGTGTGAGGCTCGCCTGTAACCCCGCTTCACAGACCACCCGCCAGGCTGACTCGCTGCCGAAGGTCGGGTCTGGCTTTCGGCCAGTAAGTGCAAACTGCCTCGTCGACAACATCTGACCTGATGTGTCACTCTGCAGCTTAAAACCACCAGTGGCCTCCCACAAATTTCTAGGCTCAGCTCAGCACCTGCCTTCAGGGCCAGGGCCCCCGGCCCCACCCCCCTCACTCTGCTGCACCCTCGGGGGTCTCCCGAGCCTTGCCAGCCCATGCCCACCCTTGGCCCCTGCTCTGCTTCCTGCTGGCAAGTTCACCTCCCCCCAGCTCAGCCCAGGCTCCCCAAGGGCTGCGGGGTCCTCAGCCTGGACAGTCTCCCTTTGCCTCCTGGCCCTGCACGTCTTCATCACAGGCCGAATCGCACTGGACTGTGCCCATCCATTTCCTGTCCCAGTCGCCATCCTTGAAGCTCCTACGGTCCAGGGGGCTGCTCTGTGCCACCAGCTCAGGCGGGCGTCAGGCCGTGTTCAGAAAAGGGTGCCTTTTGCCTGGTGTATCTCCTAGGTCCGTGGCCGGACGGGCCCCTAGACCTTCAAAGCAGACTCTTGACTCGGTAGGTAGGTGTGGGGGCAGCAGACGGGGCTGCGGCTCCCAGGACCTTGTGGAGAAGGGGGTCTCCCTCTGGCGGTCTGGCTCAGCTGTGCACCCCTGGGGCTCCGCTGGTCACTTCAGAAAGGGCTTCCCAGGATTTGGCTCGCAGGGCCCCACTCTGGTGCTCTCTGGGGGCCACCTCTTCCTCGTGGCCGCTGCTGGGCCTTGTCCCCAGCTAGCTGGGAAGCCTCACAAGGGAGGCGCCTGGTGGTGCTGAAGGGCCCTGCCGACTGCGGAGGACTCGAGCACCCGGCAGCCCACGCACTTCCCCAAGGGCCCCTCACGGCCACTCGCTGCCCTGCAGAAGATGGCAGGAGGCGGGCAGATCTGTCTCACCAGAGATGTGGAAACCTTCCAGCACCTCGGCTGACCCTTCCTCGCAGACCCCAGGGGCACAGGGGTCCACGAGGCCTGCCCCCCGCCCCCGAGACTGCCATGCACACCCCAGCAGGACACACTGAGTGTCCCCTCGAGCAGGGGAGTGGAGGTGCACACCTGGAGGACCGACCCGCGGCCGTGCCCCACGCCGAGCTCCCCGCCCGGCCCCGCAGCGCTGAGCGGCTTCCTCACCCCGTGCCTGCCCCGTGGTGCCGTCTGGCAGCGGACCCAGAAGCGCAGACTCCGACAGCCTCGCAAGCCAGGATGACCCAGCCCGCCGTTCAGGAATCTGCTGAGCCACTGGGGGGGTCGGGGGGCGCCCCAACCTGCTGGGTGCCCTGGCAGGGCCGCTCCACTCAACTCAACCAAGGCCTGGGCGACGCCTGGGCGGGCTTCTCCACAGCACAGGAGACCGTCTCCTCTGGTCCAGGGCGACCACCTGTCCGCTCCACCTGTCCACTGGCTGCGTCTGAGGTGGGGGCCCCACAGGCCAGGCGGAGCTCAGGTGGAGCTCAGAGGGCCTGGGAAAGGCTCCTGGCCCTGGTGCTGGACCGGGCTGGGCAGCCTGGTGTGGACGCTATGTCCTGGGTAGCTCAATGACCGTCCTCACTCAGTAAAGCCCCGTCTCCTATACGCTCCTCAGACAATGATGAAATAAAAGGCAAAAATCAACATGATGTGGTAAAGGTTTTTTTAAACTTTAAATTAAAAAAGAGGAAAAAAAACATTCACACAGGAGAGGCTGAACGTATCTGCTCTGAGGAAATATATTAAAGAAAGTGAAAGGTTAAAAAAAAATCAACCCCCAAATAATGATAAAAATAGATGTTTCCTCTGTAAAAATCAGGACTAAACTATCGAGTCATTCATAGCTATTCGGTATCAGAGCATGAGGTGAAATGCCAGAGTATAAAACAGTAACACGAGCAGACACCTCGAGACGCGCCGGCCGCGCCGG